AGCTGCTTTAGCAATTGAGTGTGACATAGCTAAACTTGAATGCTCCACTTCATGCTGTCCTCCAAGACAAGGTTTGGAGCATGTAGCTACTTTGAGTCAGACATCATTTTCATATTCCTGTTGTTTTCAATGTTTCACCCCATAATTCTACAGAACCAACAGCTTTGCTGAGTGACAACTGTGTTAAAGCTTTCAATTAGTGCCCATGAATTTAAGGAATGAACAGAGCTTTCGTTTTTTTTTTTCCTTTGTTTTTCTGCACTGAAAAAAAAAAGATTTTTGGGTGCAGTAACATTTATTTAATTGTTCTTTTAAATTTTACAAAAAATATCAAAATCTCTAAACTACTAGAATTTGCTAAATAAACAATATGCATTATATTATATCTCACTAGTACTGTACACAAAAAGTAAATGCTAATATTATTTTACCACTAATATTTAAGAGTTTATTTTTTTTGGACAGCACATTAAAATGAATATATTCAGTAACTTCTACTCATCTGGGCTAAAACTGAGGGCGCATGCGCACACAAAGGCTGCAGCTCCTCATTCCCTTGCTTCACTTTTCAAGGAGAGGACAAGACATTGTCGAAATAAAAACATAAGTTGTCTGGTTTCTTTTGCTTGAATACATTTGTTGGTGTGCAATAGTTTGATGGCTTAATGCAGGTGATATTTAGTTGTCAGGGAACAGGGAATGCATATTGTAGCATTCTGCTGTGTTTGGCTGTTTGTCATGTGACTGCAGTGGGGGATTGTGGGTAAGATTCATGTTTGTTGTTGTTAAATAATTTTAGGYAATTGGTTAACATTGTTCTTTCAGCAATTAGTCTGTTGTGTTACCCTAATTTGTGTGTTCATTATTTGTTAACTTGTGTTAAACCGTTCAGCAGAAGTAACCATAAGTGAGAGTGGTAGTCCTAGTCATTAATAGGACCTGTGAGTTTCACTTTGTCTGTTTTGTTCATGAAGAAGAATCCAATAAAGGTTCTTCAAAACTGCCACCTGGTGGTGAAGTCTTGAACTACAAGAAGAGCTACACTTCTCTCTGTAGCTGTGAGGTGTCATGCTGCAATATTGTGCTTGACGCATGTGCACTGTTATAAAGAACTTGTGAGTTTTACTTGAAAAAATCCTCATAACAATTTGCACCTACATTTGTTAAGTAAATTCAAGAGCTACAAATTCATGTAATATTTACTCATCATTATCTAGTAAAGTTATTAAGAATATAGTTAAACATTAGTGAATAAATCAGGTAAATTTTACTTAATTTGATCAAGTATTAAATTAGCAAATTAAGTGAAACGTACCTGATTTGTTCACAAATATTTAACTTTATTCTTAATAACTTTTACTAGATAATGATGAGTAAATATTACATGAATTTGTAGCATTTAAATTTACTTAACAAA